ATTAACTAACTGGATAAGGTACTAAAGTATCAATATTTTAAGGTGGAATCAATACATAATTGTTATCAATGCATAACAAATATATTCCAACTATAAAGAGTTACTTATTTAATTAGTTTAAATTCACTTGTTAATGAACTGAAAAATGTTCATGCAACTTTGTAATATCATCTAATAAAGATTGAAATAAATTACTTTTTTAAATTTCAGTATAGTTATCATAATGCAATTTAAACTATATTACTAAAAACCGTACAATGTACACTAACCACTAAGCATTCTTGAAAATTGGAAATTAGAGAAAGTGTGGTAAGAGGTTTACAGTGCTTTTTTCTTTTAGCTGTGGCAACTGCTTGGGAAGAAATTATAAATTTATTTAATGAAAAGAGAATATACGCATGTTCTGATGAGACATTTTGCATTATATTTTATTTATTTTTAATGCTAGTTAACTTTAAAATTAGTATAAGTTCGATTTAAAAGAGTCTCGCAGAACATGGAAGTGGCATTTCATTATAATGAAAGTGGAAACGAAATCTGGAATCGAAAAAAAATACTAGCTCAAAAAGAAATTTTTAATTTGGGATAAAAAACATGTTAAAATTTTCATATTCAGCCGGTAAAAAATCAAAATTTAATGATTTATTAAATCGTTTAATAATTAATTCTGTACTAGCCTCCTGCAGGTTGGTACTTAGTGAAGGGGAATACAACAGATATTGCAAATAAAACTTATAACCAGGAAAACATCATTTACTTTCCTCCTTTAATAACCTTTGTGAATTTTATTGTCTCCACAGATTTGGCAACTTACATATACTACTATTCTATCTCAAAGACATGAAGGCAAACAAAAGACTTGCAGCCTAGTCTAGGATGTAATAGAGAAAGGTGAGTGGCCAGTCTAGGTAATCTAGAGTCCAGACTATAACCTTGGATGACCTTGATTATACGTAGCCTTGACCTTGCTGAGGTTCGCGTGATACTACTGCATACTGCTGACCTGGATACACACACACTTACACCATACACTTACACACGCACACGCATATCACACAAGACCTGACGGCCTCGCGTATCAGTTCCGACATGGCATTACTAGAATTATGACAGGTTCTGGTAATTCTTTATGAGGATAAAAACATAACCTTACAAAGTAGTTTTTCTAGTAACTTTGTACAAGTACATTTACAGGAATATGTGGTTTTAAAAATTAATATATTAGCTAACTAAATAGACTTTTCCAGTCAACCAGTCTTAATTCCTAACTATACGTTTGTCACTCTGATCTGAAAATATTTTCATTTTTGCGTCAGTTATATACTAATCGTTAAATGTTTAGGATCATATCTGATTCGACGATAAGAAAAAAAGAAATGTGAACAAACCTTGTCCATTTTTTACTAATTTTAAGTAATCAATGGGCTACTAGTTTCAAGTCGAGTGGCATACTTGTCACATCTGACAACACTATTGCACATCTGAGGGTTGGACTATTGATTTTTTAAAGTCTCCATAACTAAACACACCTATCATGACAAGGGAATGTGAAAATCTTCAACGAAATTAAGGTCAATAGTTCAAGTTTAAACGGTTGTTAAGAAATTAGAAAATTAAAACGGTTAATAGAAAATTATGTGCTTATGACGATGTCATTTTCATAACCTAGTAGTGCATTGACCACTTCAAAATACACAAGACAGACAAGGTGTGTAAAGTTTGTTTATAGATTTATGTTAACGTTATATATAGTTATTCCATCAGCCTTGGTGGCACGAATTTTTTAAACCAAAATTAATTACTTGTACATGTACACGTACATGTAGTTAGTTACATGTATGTGTACATGTAGTTAGATTGGAGTTGGAAATAATTTTCATGGAAAAATACACGGGGCTGTAAACCTATACGATTGGGCTAAAGACCACATTCATTGATAACAAATTGCTGACCTTTCTTATCAAACAATTAACTTGCCTGACGGTCAATGTTAAACTGTGTGACTGATCAAATCACTGGCGCCGAATCAAAGATCATACTTTTGGTTGGCAAAAAATATACTTAAGAGAATATAAGCTAAAAGACGAGAACTTTTTAATGATATGATATTGTTTCGTTACCCAATTAGTTTCAGGGTAGACTGAAATAAATGAGACAGTAAGCTATACCGTGGAAAACAAACTGTGAATAAGTAATGAGATTAAAATTTGTATATAAGGAATGAATTGGAATGCGATATCCAAATGTATCAGTCAGAGCATACCAATTACATATAATGTAAACTAGACACAGATAAAAATTTGTAAAGAGCAAATTTTCTAAAAGCAAGTACCCATGAAACATGTCAATTTCATATTTTGTTATTGCATATCTGTAATCTTTAATTTTCTAAAAATTTGTTTAAATTTTAATACATTATAATTCATAAGTGAGGCCTATCTTAAATTATTGTTTATTATTTTTTTTAGTTTGACTAAATAGAACACAGGTTTGGTATATATTGTACAACATAGGGCATATATATTGTAAAATTGTGTAATATAATTTTATGTAAGTACTTTATGTTTATTTGTACTTAGGTTAAGGTCAATATTATTTATTGTGCTTTATTGTTTGCTGTTTTAAATCTCTAAGTAAAAATGAAAAATTACTGAATGTGACGTATAGTTGACTTCTAACAATATTATGTTATTTCATTCCAATACCAACTTATTATTAAAAGTAAATTAGGGAAGACACAATCAGGGTGCTTATTACTATTATTGAATTATTTATCTACATGGAAGTTAATAATGTGTTGATAAATAATATTCTACGATTGTAAAAATCATACACCACAGTCTCGTCTGATTGCTTAGATCATTATTAAAGAGTATTTACTGCTATTATTTAGTACCACTAGTATTTGGCAATATAACGTAGAACTACTAACATTAGGCCTGTAGTTTAAATACAATTACAATGAATATTTTCTGTGTCTCATTTCCGTTTTAAAACCGCATGTTAGATGACTTTGCTCTTAAGTGTTTTAATACTAAATGTTTTGTTAATAGAAATAGCTCAAGTACAAATACGTTCAGAATTACAATGAAAACGTAAAATACAAGATTTCTTGACCATTCTTATTCACAATTTTAATAGTTAATTGTAATAAAATAGTTTCTTATTAATTTTTTAACTGTTAACTGTGATAGCCGATTATGTTAGTTTAGATAAAATTTTAATGATGTACACAGAGTTACTTCATAGTCAAAGTGCATTGAATTATAGTGCATACTTGCACTAAAACACTGCTTTATCCTGTCGCTTCGATAATCGGTATCGGTTTGATCAGATCACACGGTCGATACATCGATTATTTATGCTTGCCAATTTCAACGGTTTCATTTATTGACCTTAAATTTGTCTAGGATACATTGCAATGAAAATTGTATATGGAATTATAAAAATGTGTATTATAAAAATGTGTATGCTTGTTGTTTAAGGTATAAAAGATAGTGATCCGTGATGGCAGAGAATACTAAAGAGAAAAATAAGGAGAAGGCGACTAAATATTTTCTTAAAGTTTTTCTGGTGTTTCGGAGAGTTAACTATCAACAAGACTAGTAGAACAACCAAATTTCTCCACAAGGTGATATTCAAATATACTCGTGCCACTAAAAGCGTATATCTTATTATCACTGCATGGTGAAAATCTTGAGCATATCTCAATTGGAATCGCCTTACAACCGTAGAATAACCTACATGCTTGTGCTAAATAACCTGCAGTATATATAATATGTTATATTTTACTATTTTCATGAATATATAGCTATCAAACGTACTCCTTCATGTTTCTATACTCCTTTATGTTAAAGAAAGCTGTGTTTAATATGCAGAATATTTCAAATTTCCTGCTCATCCTACAGAGATTTTATATTATATCATAGAGAATGAAATCAAACTTATATGTTATAACTCAGCCATAATGTCCACATTGGTTGGTAAATATAATTGTATATTCATCATACTCAAGAGTCGTATGCTCAAGATTTTAATTTTAACCAAATTCTCGTACCTGCATGTAAAGTATAATTTCCAACCAAAGTTTTATACTCATCAAATTATAAATCGTATTCTACGAATCAAAAGCTAGCAGGCAAAATACAGCCTACTCGTATGGATTTATTTTATGTTAAAAATTATCTTTGTTCATATAAGGCTTGGATTGAAACATAAATAAAAAGTCAAGTAGAAGAATGCTCAAGAAGATTTACAGCAGCACAGTAAAACATAGATCGTAAAACTGTTTCTTTGTTGATTTCTAAACATATTGTAGGTCTATCAGTAGTAGCTTTGGCGACTGAAACGGAGAAATAGGTAGCCTATTTCCTTGTAATTCTTTCCTCAAACTGCCTGCACGTACTGGACTTTCCGTGGCCCATAAATATTCATATTAACTTATGTAAATTTTAATACTAATCCCTTCTGCTAAAACTGTTGACATTTCCAAAGATTGTGAGTTAAATTATTCAATAGTTAGGCCTATCATGTTGTGTGGATTATATTTTCAGATGCATTACGTGCAAGTAGAATCATGGTGTAGCTTCAATTAAATCAGGTTTATAAAATGTTTTGGGTTTGAAAAAAGAAACTAATGTCCTATTGGAGTGAAAATTAATATGCATCGTTGTTAATTATTTAAATTCTGTATTAAATGGCTTTGATGGGTTTATTGGAGAGAATTCAAAATCCATAGCGGGCGTTTGATTTTAAATCACCAAGTAAGCGAATGTGCATTAAGATGTTTGGTAACACAAAAATGCAAAACAAAAAATGTAATACAGGTATTTCATATCTAGACTCGTGGATTATAAAAAAAGGAAACTAAAAAAATCCAAAAATATGTACGTAGGCCTACTTATTTTTTTGAAAAAGCAAAATTTCAAATCCACCAAAGTTTCTCACTTTTACAGGGTACCTAATGTATTTTACTGATAAGCGTGAAACTATTTGCTCACCATTCTTGATGGACGGTGGTATCCCTGCGTTCACTGCCATGTCACTGTCACCGTGTCACCAGAGGTCTACAATGACACCAACACCAACTCTGACCAGAGGCTACCAGTGACTGGTGTCGTGGTCATCCCGGGCTTATAACACTCCAACTCTGCGCGGGGGGAGAGACGATAACACTATCACTGTCACTGTACCACAGCTACACTACGAGCCTAGTTGTTTAACTTCTGTAACAATCTTCAGCCTAGGCCTATAGTTGGGTAGGTGAGGCTTGGTCTAGGTTATATAGTTAAATTCTGAAAAGTCGGTAACTTTATGGTTTGAAGCTGGGCCCAGGTGTCCTTGGGTTATATTGTCCTCGAAAAGGAAAGAGCCAATTGGAAAATGAGCTAATAAGTAATAATCCAATTTATAATACTGAAATGTATTTAATATGAAAAGCGTACCTTAGATGCATTGTTGTACAATAAAGATAATGTAAATTCAGAGTGTTTTCCGCAACCCAAATTACAATTACAATAAATAACTATTTTTAAAAACAAAAGAAGCTCATGATTAGCAGTCCTGCTGCCTTCACTTTCTTACCGATCAGTTGATTTGCATTTTTGTCTAAACGGTTTGGTGTTATTGGAACTTATTGTGAATAATATTGAACACGTTTTCTCTAAATCACAACCCATGTTTGAGATTGATAATGCACACATGGACAAAATAAGTATTACGTTATTGATTTTTTATAGTTTATAAAATCCGTATTTTCATTATTACGTACTGGAATCATACCTGAAATCGTTATTTTGCTAACTTTGTTTGGCTAAAAACGAACGAAATACTTTTGAAAGTATTCATTTCTATAACATTCACTCTTTAAGCGTGTAAAACGCCATATTGAAGCTTAATCACAATAAATACCCAATCACACTAACTGCACTTTGACTGAGCAACAATGAAGTAAAGGAAGCATGTTTGCCAACTTATGTGTGTGTTTTGTCCCTAAACAGTGGTTTTTCTATACTTTTAATTTTGGTGGCATTTAAAAATGTAAACACCCTGTACAAATGATAATGATTATAATATACCAGATAAAACAAAAACACAACAAATTCCCATAACACTACAAGTTATAATACTGAGATGTATAGACATATTTTTAATATTACTGAAAGAAACGCTTCCCATTTAGTTTGGCACTTTTATTAAAACAACGTTTACTCCAAATATAACACTTCTAGATAGTTGTGTGCTCCCCTAGCAGTCAATGTGTCCCCGGTTCAATCCAGAGGAAAATCTATTCAATCCTATTCAACCCTGGGCTTTTTGATAGTTCGAAACTGAGCCCATCTGTCGATGAATATTGTTTTTTAATGGTTACGACTATAGAAACAGCTTATCTTAAACAGTAACAAAGCGTAATCAGACATCTCACTCTACTCTACTCCCACCCTTCACTCTCATTTTGTTTTAAAATACAACTTGCGTGATTCATACAAACACAATATGATTTTACTATTTTTACTGATTTTACTTCTAAAGATAAGAATATACATAATCTACGAAATTAAGTTTGTACATTAATTAACTACTTAAATTTATGTTAGTTGACTGTGATTTAAATAAACTAATTTAACATCCCTACTTCGAAAATTTCATCATCAGGGTTTGAAACAAATTATTTTCATTGCTTGGCAATTTTCAGGCTATTTTACTATGCAATGAACTATAAATATTGGTTAACGCCATAAAATTCAACACGTAGCTTGTGCGTTTATAAAGTAATGTTGATACGTCTGGAGGAATTTGAAACTTATTGCTCGAAGTTTCCAAACTTATAGTAGCATAGGGTTTCGTACAAGAACAGATATATTCTATATACGTACACTCGAAGGGTGCTAATTATAAACAAGCCGTTAATTAGAACAATCATTGAGTTAGACACGTGTAGCTGATATTTAGACAGTTATAGAGATATATTTTCAATTTATACCTCCGGCTAATATAATAGCTGTGCCGTTTGTATTTGATTCTAAAATAGTATCTCTTAGTTGCATATTTATCTGTGCTATTTATATTATATATAACTTAAACTCCTCAATATCCATACAGCATGATAACTGTATTTTCTATTTTAATGCACCCTTAGGGACGATATCGCATGAATATTTTACAACCGAAACCATATATATTATTTTTTTATGTTATTAGTGACTTAAATCTCTAATGGATTCATATTTTGGCTGAAGACAATTATTAGTTTATTCCATACTGCATTGTAAGCTAATGAACTCCTACTTTTAAACTCAACTAACAGCATCGGATCAGCAATATTTTAATTTGTCGCATAATGCAGTTTTATTAACTAATAAGTCGCTGTTTATACATAATTAGTATAAAAACACTTTGATATTTCACCAATTTGATGAACCCCTACACACCGCATCCTTACACTGATAAAACAAATTACTAATAGGTACCTAATTTGGCTTAGTTGGGAGTATTTATAATGTTAAATGCTGTACGATCAAATATAAAATGTCAATCGCTTTTGATAAATTAAAAGCAATGTGATAATACTTCTAGCAATTAATACTCAGCGTGTTCATTTAGATGGCCGAACTGATGACGCTGAACCGAAATCGACTACGGTGATAGCCATTTACAACAATTATCTTCTTTATAAAATGGTATTTGAAGTTCAGATCTTATCAGAAACTATTAGTGTAGAGGTTAAAGGGCGCTAATGTTAGTGCCTTAGTTTGTCCTATTCGTGACGCGTATTTAATAGACTCAAAGATTTCAGATTGGAAATAATTTTGGTTGTACTTACGAAAAACAATCAATAATGGGCCCGATTTAGCTGGTTTCGAAGGATTTTTTTATGGGTGGATTGTAATTAAATCTGTATATGCTTGAAGATGCATTACGTCATTTTGAAATAATTATAATTCAGTTAACGAGTTTAAACACAAGGCTCCTGTTTTAGTTTATAATTTAGTGGTGATTTAACAGTGCAGACCTTGAAGATAAATTGCAAACAACAAATAAATCTTCTTTAAATAAATTTGATTCCAATAAAATTTGGACTTGCATTAAAAATGTTTATCACTCTAACTATTTAGTAATGACATGTTGCTCGAAATCGAGCAATTGCAAAGAAGTACTGGAGTGTTTTATAAACAAATAACTTGTTTAAAAACTAACAGTCATAATTTCCGATGATTTTAAAACAGTCAACTAAAAGATTATTAACTAATGGAAATAATCACAATTACATAACAGTCCTATTCCAGTTTAAAGGGTTAATTTATAACAATCAAAATGCCCATGGATGGGAAAAGGTAAGCTTACAATTTAAGTCAACGTAAAAAGGCTGTCAGCTTTTATAAGGGTTGTTTGAAAAAGAAACATGAATTCGACTAATTTTTAGTTTTGACGTATGTGTCCAACATAAGGTTTTGAAAAGCGCACGTACTAGCTAAGCTTGAAAATTGATTTTACACTTTTCAAAGATTCTGGATGGTTTTTGTGACGTGTTGTAACCGAAACATAAGCAAAGTTCTTTTTCCTAAAATGATTTAAATAAAAATATACTGTTATTATTCAAAGTGTTCACATTTTTCCAAGAACACGTTTTGATATAGAGAAATAGAGTGATGGGAAACGCAAGACGAAATAAATTATTATTAAAATCATTTTAAAAAATATTATTTTTAATGTAGTATGAATACCAAACAAATTATATTATATATCTTATTGGCGCTTATTTAAAAATATTACAGGTTAGGTGGATTTACGACAGCTTTGTATAATATTCCTGTTTGCCAGAACAGTAAAATATTTGATCTACATTATCCGCCTGATCATCATAATATATTGCCGAATCGCTGAGTCATTGAGTATAAAGTGATGTAAGAGATAACAGTACTTTAAACCTTACCTCTTGCTGGATAATGTTTAACAAAATGGGTTCAAATAAATTCTACCAAGCAAAATCTTATACATGTAGAGTTATAAAACGAATGATATTGTACTTTAAAGGATGGGAAGAGAAACAACTGGGTTTGAAACACATCATCAATGTATTAGTTATTGGAATATGATGTTAATATGATCAGTATTTCATGCAATAATTGAACAAATAAAATAAATTTTATCTGTGCCGTTATATTGTTCAAAAAGTAAAGTTGATAAGGTGATAATTTAGCTCTTTTACATACGTAGACTGTTATATACATGAAAGATACGAGAGTTAAAATGTCGACAAATACATAATAAGCTTATACAGAACCAAACTATAACCTAGCATAATATGTAGCACTTTATAGTCCAGAGGTTTGTTTAGTGGCAAATACTTTCCAGTAAACTAACCAATTGAGAAACTTTTACCACAGCTAACCAAACAAGAAGCTTTAGTAGAAGAAACTCAGCTTGCTTGCTAGCATAACGGAGGAGGAATTTATTACTCGACAAACCAAAATTGTAGAAGCTTTCATGATTTTTGTAGCAATAGACCTATTTATTGTAACCCGATTTCCTTTGTTGAGTAAAACTAGAAGCACTCATCAGTAAGTAGTGTTTACGTCCATTTAAAAAATAACCAATTTTAAACAGATTTATATTCTAACTAAACTCTAATCCTTTAGTATAGATACCATGGCTACTTTACTACAAATCATCTAGTCAACGATATAGCTTCACAAGGAGGTGCCAGTAAGCTTAGCTTAACATCCACTTATTACTAAAATGGCCAATTTGAAACCAATAAGGAAATCGATTGTAAACCACACAAAAACACTGAATGGTTCAGGATTGAACCGAGAATAGGAATAAAAGAGCGTATAACACAGTTCTTCAGAATGGGACCACTTGTGAATGGACGGCTAAATAGAGTTTCGAGGTTCCATTGGAGAAAACTTGTAGAGGCTTTTTTTAGAAATAAACCATAATCTTTGAAGAAGCACTGAGCTGCAGAATTCCATATCTTAGTGTTAATTTTATTGGAAAATTGTTTTACGCATACATGTTTAAAATGCTTAAAAATGTGCACTTTCAAAATACAATGCGAAGTATATAAATTATCAAATGTAAGTTAATATGCCTTACGATGTGCTATGTT